AAAAAATGCACCCACCAAAAAAGAACCCGGACATAGGCTCGGAAGCTGCACACCGCGAAACTACTCGGATGATGGTCTAATCCAAGACTAAAGGACCGCTTCGGAAAGATACCACAGAAACTACTCGAATGATGGTTTAATCCAGGACTAAAGGACCGCTTCGGAAAGATACCATAAAAACTACTCGGATGAGGACAAAATTCAAGTCTCAGGGACTACTTCAGAGCACAGATTTTCAAACAAACATAAAGGATCAAGACCCTCCAACTTTTTGTTCCAAATAGCAAGAGGCTCGGGGGCTACACTCAGTGAGTGCACTTTTTCTCCAAAAAAGCGCACGTCACCAAAAGACTTCCTCAATGCAGACTACTTCAAGACATTATGACAAAAAGAACTCGGAACGAGCTATATTCGAGTTCTTTTTGACAAAACTTCAGCGAACAATCAGAGCAACTTCAAGACTAGATCCTCCAGCTCCTTGTTCCAAATAGCAAGAGGCTCGGGGGCTACAACCAGATGGATGTACTTTTTTTTCACAAAACACTCACCACTCGAAGGTCCCAAAAAGCGCTACAAGATTTCACTCCAGAAAGCACTCGGATAACATTTTGTTCCTACCTAACAAGACTTGAAGGAGCAAAGCGAGACTTTCAGAGCTCAACCATGAAGTGCTCGGGGGCTTGTCGATGCGGGACCCATAGGATACCCCGCAAGAGAGAGAGAAGATCTAGCTCAACTAGGATTCTTCCCATGTAATCTTAGTAATAGAACTATTAAGTAATACTACTAGGAAATCTCATTGTAAACCGACTAGGACTCTGGCCTCCTGACTATATAAAGGAGGGCAGGGCTCCTGAAAGAGAACAATTGTACAACATAACACTTCATAATCAATCCAACGCAAAAGGCAAACGCCGACTGGAAGTAGGGTCGTTACTCGATCTACGATCGAGGGCCTGAACCAGGATAAATCGACTGTTTCTTGCGTTTACCATCGAGTTCAGCATACGCCGAAGCCCGAACGATACTGCCACGGTACCCCTGTGGCAGGCTATCGGTGGTGAAACATCGACATTCACCCCCGTGGAGAATTGATGAACAACACTCTTGCCCTTGCGCCATCGATCTTGAGTGAACCATCGAAGTGCATTGCCCATTGCTCGGGTGATGGTGAAGATGGGTTGATATCTCGAACCTCGATCCACTCGACGACGAAGTCGGCGAGGCGAGTACTTAGATTTGATTGCAGATCGAGGAGGAAATTCAATCATGAGACCTTGCTCCCAGTTTCATGGCCCACTTGATAATTCTTCCATTGGCATTGGAGTTTCGTAGAATGTCTCCAAGTGATAAGTCAGAGATGACTTTGACCACATCAGATTGGAAAATAAATATGGCATATAGAAGCTTCTGAACTTGTAGGTAACGCACCTTTATTTGACTCAGTTAGAACTTTGCTGATGAAGTAAATAAATTCTTGTGCCTTTTGAAGTAAAGAATTGTGTCAGGATCTTACTTATGGTTTTGTCGCAAACGGTAAGATTCCACATTTTTGGTATGTCCAAAAATCCCAATTTTTTGAAACTTTTTATGCAAGTATGTATTTACCCAAAGTTTTATGGGAGCTAATTGTGCAAATCTAATTTTTAGTTCAAAGAGCAAACTGATTTTCCCAAAACCATTTGCAGCTTTGTGTTCCTTGTTTTATTTGGAGTTTATTACGTTCTTTCAAATTTGGTTAAACTCTTTGTAAAATAAATCAAATAAAGATAAAAAATCTTATCCCTAACCCCTCTTGCCTTGAGTCCGAATCTGCCCGGCTAGCCTTGGTGGAACTTGCCGATCTGGCCCAGCCGAGCCCACCACCCCAGGCGCCGACATACCGGTCCCACCAGTCGGGACGTAATCGTCCCGTGCCCAGCTGCGTCATCCTTGGACACCCGCCACCCTTTGTCAACCCGCTGCTAGGTGGACCCACCCCGGTCTCCGTCGCACCCACGCCGTCCCCGCCTTCGGTCGGTTCAGCCTAGGCATTGGGTAATACTGAACCGATATGTTCGGTATTTCGTTTCCCACAAAAATTCGGTTTCTTCGAAAATCGGTACCGATCGGTTCCTTCCAAAAATCGGTACCGATGAAATTCGGTTTCGGTACTTTTGGTTCGGTTTACAGTATTTACCGAACTGATCACAGAGACATGTAATAGCAGGTTCAAAAGCTAATTTTGACATGATTTCATAGAGTATAATAGTGCAAAATAAATATACATATAAAAGTCTACAATACTATAAGAGTGAGTACCACAAATACATAATATAATGGTCTACAATAGTACAATCAATAATATAACACACACTCAAACTCAGCACATTTCAGGTAAATTCGGTTCTTTGAGGTAAAAAAACGAATTTATCTTGGTAATTTTGGTTCCTGGGAATTAGAAACCGAATAGAGTACCAAAAATTTCGGTTTTCCTATTTTCGGTTTGGTTCTCGGTTTTTTTTTTTTTTTTTTCCAGGGCTGCGGTCGGTCACAGCCGCCTGGGGCTCGCGCGCACTGCTCTTCTTCCTCCTCACCCGCGCGGACCTCTCACCTCTCTCTCGCCTGCCTCGCCCACGAGCCGGGCCAGCCCCGACCGACAGCCGACCGTGGCAGGGGGACGTTGAGCCCTGCCGGCCGCTTCTCACTGCCCGCCGGCCGGGCCCTCTCGCTCACGAGAAAGGAGGAGGGCGATGACCGAGACCGAGAGCGAGCCGCCCTGACCGAGGCCGCGCCCGTCACGCCATCGTCCCACCGCCCGGCACCCGCACTGCACCTGCCGCTGAAGACGATCCTGCACAGCAGTACAGCACCGGGTGGATTGGATTTCGCAACGAGCGGCTCTGCGGCTGCCCACAGACGACGATGAATTCCAATGGTTCACGGTGGAGTACGTACGAGCACTGCCTCTTCGAGAACACGGACGAGGAGCGGCGGCGGAAGGAGGGTGTTCGGCATCGAGTTCATCTCGTGGGCGCGGCCAGCCGAGGCCGCAGACGCTGTTTGGGCCGACGCACCATCGAAGGACCCTGCTTGTGAGGAGTTTGAGTAGGAGGCCGTCAACGCGACAACACAGACTCTAGATCCTCCTGCTTTGCTTGGGGCGCTTGATGGAAGGGCGTGTCGGTGAGGATCTCGTGAAGCCGCCGTGGCGGCAGTGGGAGATCCTGTTCGTCGCCGAAGAAGGCACTGCTGATGCGCGGCGAGGCAACATGGTGCTGATGAGCCCAGCAGAGACTGCATTTCAATGAATATACGCACATCAATTGGATCCTGATAGAGATGGTGGAAAATATCTTTCTCCGTATGGGGTTAGAAGTGTGCAACCTATATACTCTTCACAGATAACAGTTCGATAATCACTCCATCTGCATATATTGTTTTCTTTTGTCACTCAAAAAACCAAAATACTTAAAGGATAAAAAATAATATGTGAGAATTTACATCTTACCAATATTCGAGCGGTGCTCATCTTATTTTAGATAATTCCACTTGCAGCAGGTTGTAACGATGTACTAGCAAACATGGTGAAAAAAAGGTATTTCTTAAATATTTCATGACACTAATCTGTTTTTCACAATTCTGTAGTAGTTGGCTAACTGCAGAATTATGGGTTTTCAGTTTTTTCGAGCAGTTTGGATCTTTGTAGTAATATTTGTAGCTTCTCTTCAATGTAGCGTACTGGTTCATAGTGGCAGAGTTCATGAAGGACACTATTATGTCTTTATTTACTCAAACCTATTTGCAAATTGAAAATTTCGGTACAAGTTTCAAGATGAACCGGTAACAAATGATTACATGAAGATGGCATTGGAAGAGCAATATGGTGCTACATGCAGACACTAAGACTTCTTCGTGATCTTTCTCCGATAATCCTTCGTTGCAGCTCGGATCCCTCATACCAACCCTGGAGTCAATACTACCCCACTAAGCATTCAAATGTTTACATGCTTGTTTACATGCTTGTTTACATTCAAGAAAGTAACAAAGAGAAATTTTATCTGTTATTTGGACGATGAAGACATATTAACAACATCCACTTTCAGTTTCCTCTAATACATCAATTCATAGTCTCCCACTCACATGGACATAAATTGGTTTCGGACTGGATGAATTCCAACATGGTTGAATAGATGCAAAGTTTCATCTCATCATATGTGCTGACGCACGCACACAACAAGAAATAGACATGTCCAAAACCCTCAAGGCTCTGTGGATCTATATAAGGAGCTAGAGGCCAAAAGTGAAACAGAGTTTTTTTTAGAAACAATGTGAATTTTATAACTCATGAACAATTTAGCCGATTAGGTTGATTATTAGTAAGATGGGTGCATGCCATTTTAATGAAACATAGTCACGCTTTCTAAATGAAATATTGGCCTTATGTCATGTTCTTGAAGATGAATGATTCAGTAAACCACAATTCTGCTCAAGAAAATTCTGATTCTAAATTGCACTATTCATCATGAGCATTCCGTGATCAATGCATTAAAATGTTACCCTCATATATGATACATGCTAACGCAAGAATTTTACACCTTTATTACGACCTGATGTTTGGATCTCATCTGATATCCGAAAAACCAGAAGTTCTAACTCCACATTTTACTGTTTGGCTGTCATTTGAAATTTATTTTCCATTTCTGTAGGATCCATACCAGTGTGCAAATGAAAATCTTTTAGTTATTAGTTCATCGCATTTCGAAAGCGAAAGAAAAAAATAGTGCTTTACTACATCACATTCCACACGACAACTATAGAACTGATCTACATTAATTAAACAGGACAGAGTTCAAGCACAAATGGCAAATACAAAGGTGGCTACTGATTCACTTCACAAAAGCATGGCCACAAATTAAATGCAGGTTAATGGAAGATTGGAAGAAGCTTCTCTACAAAGCGAATGCGAATCTATCGTCCATCAATCATCGTTAATTGTCGTTCCAGAATCATGCATGTTTTCAGTCGTCGTTGAGGTCGATCTTCACCGTGTCCAAGGCTCGTTCCCCTCTGGTGAACCTCTCGAACAGCACCGCCAGATAATCCTTGGTCGTCGTCTTCCTGTACCGCCTCGGCCTCTTGTCGTCCACCAGCTCCGGCAGCGGCTCGATCTCCTTCTCCGGGTCCAACGTGTAGAACATCGCCAGCGACACCCGGTCGCTCTCGGCGTTTGTCACCGCGCGGTGCACGGGGCTCCTGAACAAGCCGTTGCTCATGATCTGCAGCAATTTTTACAGAGTGCGCAATCCGGCCATCAGATCAAGAACGCGATTTGCACATTTGCACTTGCAGCAGATACCTACCTCTGTTACGTCCCCAACGTTGACGAGCAACGCGTTGGGAACGATGGGCACGTCGTACCATCCGCCGCCGCCGTCGGTGGGCTTCTGCACCTGGAGCCCGCTGACGGCGTCGTCGATGAGGACGACGGTGATCACGGAGGCGTCGGAGTGGGGTCTCAGGCCGAAGACGCGGTCTGGCTCGGGGCATCGCGGGTAGTAGTTGAACCTGGCGTGCGTCATGGCGACGCCCTCGCTCATCATGCTGACGAAGCGGCCCTCGTGCAGGCCCAGCAGCCTGGCGACGCTGGCTAGCACGACGCCGGCGATCTCCCGGCACCTGGCGGTGTACTCGCGAAGGACGTCGCAGAAGGCAGGGGGCTGCGCCGGCCAGAGGCTCCGGACGATCCGGGACTCCGGCTCCACGATGAGGTACAGCCTGTCGCACCAGTCTAGGACCTGGTCCTCCGACAGCACCACGTCGTTGCCATACCCTTCGTTCCTGAACTCCTTGCCGTTCGCCAGGTTGGAGTACTTCTGCTTCTCGTCGAGCGGGAGGTTGAAGAATCCCCTCGTCACTCCTATCATCTCAGCTAGAAATCCTGGATCCATTCCATGCCCGACTGCCTGGACAGAGCTTGGTCTCTGTGATACGAGGAAATTAGAAGAAAAGAGGGAGCTTTAGCTTTAATTTATTATTACCAGGAAGAGGCCCCAGTTCTGCAGGGCGGACAGGAGCTTGGCGGCCTCGTCGGCGCCGTCGTCGGTAGAGGACAGCCGGCTGAGGTCAACGATGGGAATGGGCTCGGGCATGGCGGCAACGGCAACGGCTGGACGATCTTGCCCGCCAACCACGTACCGGCTCGGTGGCTCCTGCACGCCGGCGGCCAGCTCCTGAACGATCGGCGGTATCTTCCATGCTGGTTGGTCGTCGGCCATGGTTGCTTGCTTGCCACTTGCTAGTTGTCACTACTCACTAGAGTCGTTGGTCGTCACCTACCGTGTCCATTACCTCGTTTTTCTGTTTTTAACTCGCAGTGGACGGCATTACTTTAAGGAAGACGACGAATCGATTAGATGCGGACACGGACGGAGATGAACTATAGAATATACTGTACAGGATCATCATCTAGTACAATTTATCGCATATACAAAGTCAAACTTAATAATATCTTTTATTAATATGGTATTATTTTTGTTCAATCAATGACGTATTGCAAGAGAAAAACATGATGCCTAAGGTATACATTATTGTGCATTATAAAATTGCAAGCAGGTACATCGGTTATACTTATGTAGCACTCGTATGTGTTGGGAGAAGAATATATGTTGACGAAGAAACATTTGGGTTTATCGTTTCTCTTTAAAACTGTCGTGTGCTATATAGGCCATTAATTGTGAGAAAGTGTAAAAATAGTGCCCATATATATTTTCATAAAATCTGTGTCGGGTCTCTCCATCTCCACAAAGTGTAAACCAGTGAGGGAGTAGAGCAAGAGCAGGAGAAGGTTAGCAAGACTACAGCAAGAGATAGCAGGACTTGTATTAGTTTGACTGAATTTGTTCATCATACAGTCCTCGAGTCTCCCTCAGTCCATCTATTCTTCTCCTTCGGCCCACGCACACTTACATGGGCCGACTCCACCCTGAGCCCGAGATACCCACACTATATCCTTTCTGGGCTAAGAAGTGCTTCCAGGCTCATCTTCAGTTTCCCGCACTTCTTCAGAAGCAGCAGCAGAAGCTACAGAAGTTATTCGATACACAACTAAATAGAGGGCATACATCCAGTGGAATACAACAAAGTCTTCTGTGCAGATTATTACACACAAAGAGTAAGCAAGCACAAGGTACAATTACATAAATGGATAACAAATCAGTTCTCACGGCAGGAGGTACATGCAATTGAACAGAGTGATGATGATTCAGAAGGACGATGCCGAAGAAGATGTGCAGGAACAGGGGTTGTCCTGTCGTGGATTGTCGATGATGACAAGGCTCGTGGCAACATGAAGGAAGATCAAAACCGCGAGTTCTCTGCTGGTTCGAAAACATCCAACATTTGCAGCACAGGGTGATTCGTGTGATTCTCCACTTCCTTCCGTAGCATATCTTGCTTCCCCAAACAACCGTACCGAATAGAAATCTTCTTGAGCTTTGGAAGGTGGTTGATACCATTGATCCTTGTTGTCAAATTGCAATCCAAGATGTCTATTGTTTCCATGTTAGGCGAGGTGCTCTGCTCAAAGGTCACCTCTGTCAGTGCCATTCCATAATGATTCTGTATGAGGAAGATCCTGAGCTTTGGAAATCCATGCTCCCGGAACACTAACTTCTCTGCATTGAATGCATTTTCTTTAAGACGAAGTTGCACCATGTTGGGTAGTTCAGCCAAGGCCTCCAATTCCTTTTGCTCACAATATTTGAAATCAACCTTCACCAAGTTGTCACATTTACCAACCCAAGCAGGTATCTGCTGAAGACGCCCCTTCAATTTGGGACGCTCAAGATAGGGGAGAGGGGATGTAAAAGAAACAACCATATCCAGCACCTCAGCTGTTTTTTTTCCCTCTCCTTAGTACTCACGCTGAGGGAACGGAAGGAGGACAATTTTAGCATAGCCTCACAGAATGCCTCCCAGTTTTTCTTGGAGGCCCCTCTCCCTTTCACAACTATCTTCCTCAGCTTAGTTGGTTCCCCTAGCTCCTTGATTGCTTTCCGACTTGTTCGCTTGATATCCACTTTCTCTAGTATTTGTAGCTCTTTTAATTTTCTCACTCCTCTAGGCAACTTAATGCCAGATGAATTAGACCAGCAGCTAGACAGGGCCATGTGCAGGTCAGCAGTTGCAATAGCATTACACTTTAAATAATCTATGGCATCCTTGAACCACTCCCCAGGTTTGAATTCATCTGTATCGAAACGACCATAAGAGCGTACCTTGCTGCATCGAAGGCTGCGAAGGTTATGGAGCTTAGTGATTTCTGTTGGTAGAGTCGAAACACTTGATCTCTGTAGGTCTAGAGTCTGTAAGCAAAGCAGATTGCCTATAGACTTTGGAAGTGCATACATATTATTTGGATAATTTGGATAATGTAAATACTTCAAGTGTAGCAACAACCCTATGTATTTTATATCTTGTTGGCTTGCCGCAAATTGAGCATGTTTTAAATCCAGAATCCTCAACATCTTGAATTTGTATGAGCAAAGTAAGGATGCTAGCTCCAGAGGCTCACTGAACGCAGTTAAAGACCGGACACACCTTAAATCCAAAGCAGTGTTCAGTTTCCTGCTAGCAACACATGATAGATGTCGGATGCCTACTCTTGTTGATATGTTGGAGGTGTGTTCTCCATGTATGAATGCATAGTTCTCCTGCCTAGAGATTGACACCGCAATATCATGCACAATGTCATGAACTCTGCATGTTTTCACATTCCCCAGATTATCTAACATAGATGGTTGAATCATGCACCGGCTGATGAGCTCATAGAAGTAACTTTCAGCAACTTCTTCAAGGGTTCTTGTAGTTGTGTCATCTACTACCAACCCTTTATCTACCCACCTATTAACTAGGTGTTTTCTTTCAATCACAAAATCTTCAGGAAAGATACTGAGATGCAAAAAGCAAGGCTTTAGATGCGAAGGCAAGTGGCTGTAGCTAAGGCTAACCACTCGCCTTAGCGCATCAAGGCTTGGATTGGTAGCTAGATCCGAGGGGAGTTGCTTGTATATACTCTCCCACTCCTCTGTGTCTTTATTGGCAAGTAGGGCTCCAATTGTCAGAATGGCAAGTGGTAGTCCACCACATCTATGCAATATTTTTTCAACTATTCCTTTGGTTTTGTCACCTTTCTCTAGGTCATCAAGACTTCTCTTTGTCTTTTTTAGAAACAAGGTTCTAGCCTCTTCTTTCCCTAGGAATTCAGGTTGGTGGATGTGTGATGGGTGACTAATACAGTATTCAGCTAATGTATGATTCCTTGTAGTCACTACCACACAACTATCATCCTTACCACTAGATTGGAAAGTAACCATAATGCGGTTCCATGCATCAATGGTCCAAACATCATCCAAAACAATAAGGTACCTTGTTTCCTGAAGTCTTTTGGATATGTAGTCAGCAAGATGTACTTCTCACACCAGTTGCCCTTGATGATCTTCTAAGAGGGAATAGACAAAGTCCTGTAAACTGAAAGAATCAGTTCACATGGTTAAGCTTTTTTTCGCGACCATGCTCTGCATGTACATCATTAAGAAGGAAAAGGAGTTGTTACATAGGTAAACGCCGGTCGGCCTAGAATGCGAGCGGCACACTATGGCCGAACAAAGTTAACCCTGCAACAGAAGCAACGGAGGCTCTAGAAACTATTACATAAGAACAAATTTTGCGACATTTCCGACCGGCGAAGATCAACCAAGGACCCTGGGCGGCCACAATGCGGTCAGGTGGCCGTACCCCGCCTGTGACCATCGATCCACCTCCTCCTCAATCATGGTAGCAACATCAACGGGCGTGCGGCCAGCCCCATGGAAAACCCTATTGTTACACTCCTTCCAAAGACACCAAGCTCCAAGGATGACGAGGGAGTCAAAACCTTTGCGCCTCGCCATTTCGAGCTGCATTCGGTGCAACAGCCACCGGTCAAGGAAAGGAGCAGCGTCATTAGCCCCCTTAATCATGTGGTTAAGCTTTGTTTATTCTTGGCTTATTTTGCCTTCTTTTTATTTATTTATTAGGGCTAAGCATGGAGGGTTGCTCTTGTTTGATCTTGCTAAGTATACGAAATACAAGCTTGATTTTTCTAGAAATAATTTGTGAGTTTAAGAGGGATTGAATAGTTGCAACGTGGTCGATGGTCGGTCAGGTCTTGTGTAATTTGCAAAAAATAAAATAAAATAAAAAAGGTAGTGGTTGAACTTTAGACAAGGGTATGTCGACAAAGAGAGCCTTTTATTACTGCTCAGAAACAAATTTACAATCGAGCGCAATAATATGATATACACAAGCTGCAGAATTAAAACACAAGATGGTTGTGCCTTATCCTTTTCGCCGGCTGTGCAAGCTCATGATCGAGCTGCCCTGTTACACCCTGTCCTTGTGTAGATAACTCTGTCTGTTACAGCCGTGCAAGCTCATGGTTGGTTCCGTGTGAGACCCCGCTAAATGGGCTAAGCTGGGCCGGTCTTATGGGTTGGACCAAATGACCGAGTACTGTATCTCTAGTTGCGGCTACTGTAGCATATGCCACTGTAATGCGGGACTTTAGCCCCGTACTGGAAGTTGAGGGGAAAACAAACCAACTTAAAAGCCTGAGCTCTATCAGAGAATTAACTTTGGTTTGAATTTTTTATGCAAAGTGAGAATAAAAACGTAAGAGAGTAAGAGAGTTAATTAGTATGTGTAGGTGTGTGTGGTCCATTCTTAGCACATTCCGCCAGAACATCACTCGGAATCTCCAGCTTGGATACGTGGCAGCTAATAAAATCTACTTTAGGGGTGGTTTTCAGTCCCGTAAAAGCCACCGGCACTCCGGCAAGCCGGTTTTCACCCGCTTGTGCTTCTACGTGTAAACAAGGGCCTCTTTCCGATCGGAATCTACAGAAGTTGCTCGAGACATCATAGTAGTAGTTATATGGCTTTTGCATTATTAATTTGGGCAAACATCCAGTGGAATATATATATACAACAAGTCTGCTGTCCAGATTATTATTACACACACAAAGAGTAACCAAGCACAAGGTACAATGATACAAATTGATAATAAAGCAGTCCACATGCCCAATGAACAGAGTGGAGTTTACAAAGGGAGGATGATAATGATGACGTGCAGGAGCTGGGCTGTGCTGACGTGAATTGCCGATGACAATGGGGAAGGTGGTGACGTGAAGGCAGATCAAGACTGCGAGCTCTACCTTGGTTCGGAAACATCCAACATTTGCAGCACAGGGTGATTCGTGTGATTCTCCACTTCCTCCTGTAGCATACCTTGCTCCCCCAAACAACCGTACAGAATAGAAATCTTCTTGAGCTTTGGAAGGTGGTTGATACCATTGATCCCTGTTGTCAAATTGCAATCCAAGATGTCTATTGTTTCCATGTTAGGCGAGGTGCTCTGCTCAAAGGTCACCTCTGTCAGTGCCATTCCATAACGATTCTGTATGAGGAAGATCCTGAGCTTTGGGAATCCATGCTCCCGGAACACTAACTTCTCTGCATTGAATGCATTTCCCTTAAGACGAAGTCGCACCAGGTTGGGCAGTTCAGCCAAGTACTCCAATTCCTTGAGCTGACAATATTTTAAGTCAACCTTCACCAAGTTGTCACATTTACCAACCCAAGCAGGTATCTTCTGAAGAAGCCCCTTCAACTTGAGACGCTCAAGAGAGGGCAGAGAGGATGTAAAAGAAACCACCTTATCCAGCACATCAGCTTCTTTTCTCCACTCCTTAGTACTCACACTGAGGGAACGGAGGGTGGACAGTTTTGGCACAGCCTTACAGAAAGCCTTGCATTTTTTCTTTGAGGCCCCTCTCCCTGTCACAACTATCTTCCTCAGCTGAGTTAGTTCCCCAAGCTCCTTGATTGCTTTCCGGCTTGTTCGCTTGATATCCACTTTCTCTAGTATTTGTAGCTCTTTTAATTTTCTCACTCCTCTAGGCAACTTAATGCCAGATGAAGTAGACCAGCAGCTAGACTGGGCCATGTGCAGGTCAGCAGTTGCAGTAGCATCACACTTTAAATAATCTATGGCATCCTTGAACCACTCCCCAGGTTCATCTGTATCGAAACGAACATAAGTGCCTACCTTGCTGCATCGAAGGCTGCGAAGGTTATGGAGCTTAGTGATTTCTGTTGGTAGGGTTGCAACTTTTGATTTTCGTATGTCAAGAGTCTGTAAGCCTAGCAGATTGCCTATAGACCTTGGAAGTGTATAAATATTTGAACCCAATGGAAAATGCAAGTACTTCAAGTGTACCAACAACCCCATGTATTTTATATCTTGTTGGCTTTCCGCAAATTGAGCATGTTTTAAATCCAGAATCCTCAACATCTTGAATTTGGATGAGCAAAGTAAGGATGCTAGCTCCGGAGGCTCACTGAACACAGTTAAAGACCGGACACAGCTTAAATCCATGGCAATGTTCAGTTTCCTGAAAGCAACACATGACAGATGCCGGATACCAACTCTTGTTGCTATGTTGGAGGTGTGTTCTCCATGTATGAATGCATAGTTCTCCTGCTTAGAGATTGACACCGCAATATCATGCACAATGTCATGAATTCTGCATGTTTTCACCTTCCCCATATTATCTAACTTAGATGGTTGAATCATGCACCGGCTGATGAGCTCATAGAAGTAATTTTCAGCAACTTCTTCAAGTGTTCTTGTACTTGTGTCATCTGCTACCAACCCTTCAGCTACCCACCTATTCACTAGGTGTTTTCTTTCAATCTCAAAATCTTCAGGAAAGATACTAAGATGCAGAAAGCAAGGCTTGAGATGCCAAGGGAGGTGGTTGTAACTAAGGCTAACCACTCGCCTTAGCGCATCAAGGCTTGGATTAGTTGCAAGATCCCAGGGGAGTTGCTTGTATATACTCTCCCACTCCTCTGTGTCCTTATTGGCAAGTAGGGCTCCAATTGTCAGAATAGCAAGTGGTAGTCCACCACATTTGTGCAATATTTTTTCAACTATTCCTTTGGTTTTGTCACCTTTCTCTAGGTCATCAAGACTTCTCTTTGTCTTTTTTAGAAACAAGGTTCTAGCCTCTTCTTTCCCTAGGAATTCAGGTTGGTGGATGTGTGATGGGGGACTACAGTATTCAGCTAATTTATGATTCCTTGTAGTCACTACCACACAACTATCATCCTTACCACTACATTGGAAAGTAACCTTAATGCGGTTCCATGCATCAATGGTCCAAACATCATCCAAAACAATAAGGTACCTTTTTTCCTGAAGTTCTTTGGATATGTGGCCAGCAAGATTTGCTTCCGTTACCTCCTGCCCTTGTTGATCTTTGAAGAGCCTGTTCAATGACTCAACTCCAAAGAGTTGCTTCACCATCTCCTTAAAAATCTCCTTTTGGTCAAATGACTGTGACACTGTGATCCAAGCACGGGTGCCAAACATGTCACTAAGATCCTTGCTATCAAACACCTTCTTGGCGAGAGCTGTCTTGCCGAGGCCGCCCATCCCAACAAGGGATACCACTCTTGGACCAGCATTGGAGGTTTCATGTTCCTTGGGTTCCTTCAATTTGGCTATTAATTCCATCAGTTTCTTCTTCGGCTCATCCAAACCAACAAGCTGGGATTCCTCAACATTTAAAGCCGTGAAATTCCGGGTGAACTCTGTGTCACCTATCACATTACTGGAGGTGGATGGTGTGAGATTGATGGCATTGTACCTCTTATTCATTTGGCTCACCTCCTGGACTCTTAGTTTGAGAGTCTTTATCTGGACAGCAATGCGATGGCGCTCTCGCAAGCTGAGAAGTTGCTGACAGAGGTTCTTGTGCTTGACGAAGACCATGAACTCCTCTAGTCTGTCCTCAATGTCATAGGCCAAGTCGCGGATCAGCTCCGAATACGCCTTTAGCACCCCAATGTTCTCACGTGCCCCGTCAGCTGCCCTGAGGAAGGCTTGCATCATCTTTAGCTCATTGCTGATGAACCTACAACAAAAAGGATAAATAAGTACGCACCCCATTTATTTTGAATATATTTTTTCTTTCTCTTGTAATATATTCCACCAGATATAAGGTCAATATGCTCCTAGGAATTTGAATAATATGTTGGCAATTCCCAAAAAATTATTTATTATGTCCGGACATAAAAATGAACTAGTTAGTATATATACGATGTGATGACCACGTCCAGCAACGGGACACACTGACGCTATACCTGTAAGACCACTAATATTATGTGGTCCAAAAAAACTGAACCACGAGTTCATTAAAATGGTGTGTCTATTTGATAAATAAGGAGGTTTTAAGGGTCTCTTTGCCAGAGCTCGACCAGCTCCAAATTCATGAAAAATAGTTCCAGATTCAATTTTTCTTGCAAAACGGTTCTAGCTCCCCCGGCTCCCCCATGGATCTACTCCACCAAAACGGCATCTGCTCCTGATTCACCAAATTGGTGGCGCACCACAATGGGTGCTCCACCAAATTCAAGTTTGGTGGAGTTTGACAAAATTATCCACCATGTCACGGATTACACAGAAAAAACAGTTTGTTCTATTCTTTCCTGTCTTCTTCTCCGTCGTTCTATTCTTTTCCGTCTTCTTCCCCATCGCTCCACACCATTGCCCGCGACCTCACCCTCGGCTAGCCGCGCGCCCGCCCCCGGCTAGCAGCCACACCACCCCCAGCTGGCCACGACCACCCCCAAAGCCGCGCCTGGCCACGAGTGCCGTCAGCGGCCACGAGCTCCGCCCCTGGTCGAGGATGCGCGAGGTTGGACGAAGAAGAAAACACCATGCTTTTTTTTAATTTTTCATTATGCCCCTAACGCGTGGGGTCTAGATGGAAGTGCAATAGAGATAGAGGTGGAGCTACATCAAACACTTTGACAATCCCTGCTCCACAAGTGGATCCAGCTGAATCTCAGATCCATATTCACTTTTTCCGGTGCTAAACCTCTGCCAAAGGGGCCCTAACTCCTAGAGGCAACCACATACGCAACAGATGATGACTTTAGCAAAAAAAAAAAAAAAAATCACCAGACAACTCGAGGATCCACCTGAAGGATTAAAAAAAAGTTCACCTCAACCCCCACGCATGGATAGAACGAGGCGAAGGCGGCGACTCCCGCGCAGAGGCGTAGTCGGTGCCCACTGGCTGCGGAGGACGCCGGTATGCAACTGGGCAATGCCGCCACAGCAACAGTCAAGGACACCGGGATGTGTCGGCCGCCGGGGTGATGCCACGGCGCTTGGCGCTATCCGCTTGTTTCTGCTCAGCCCACCCCCACCAGAATCTGAATCACACGCGCCTCTGCCCGTCTGCCCTCCGGCATGGCTTGTTCTCGCTGTCATCGCCGACGGATGTGGATAGGAGCCACAGGGAAAGGACATGTGAGGGGTAGGGATGGAAACGGATTGGGTTCGCATTCGCATGGAATCGGATTTGGATATCACCGACATGTGCGTGACGAGATGAATGAACTTGGGTGGCGGGTGACATGAGTGGTGTGGTGTTGACGAAAATTTGCAGCTCTAAAAATCAAAGCAAGAAGAGAGAGAGGAACGGAGGGGGAGAAAGCGAGAAACGCAAGAAATTTTTACTGTTTACTATTAAAATAGATAGATAGATAGACATGCGTGTGTTGTATCAGGACACATAATTTATTGTGCAGGTACTCATTCCAATGATAATGAGTTAGCTAATTTTTTTTTGTTTTAATTGAGCTTGACCCTACCTAAAGTATTAATTCTTTATGCGAAATTGGCAAGAGATTGACTCAATTTAAATATGACTATTGTGTCCGCCAATTATCAGTTTCTTTCTTTTTTTAAAAAGAAAGATAAAATGTGAGCCCACATGCGTGCAGCGACGTGAACGAGCTTGAGCGTCACAATGCATGAGTAGTGTGGAGCCATGTCATTGGCCCCAAGGTCTCTCTAGGTCTACTATACATTTCGTATGCGCTAAGCTAAGGGCCTAAGGCTACAGTCACACTTATACCATATTTTGGATTTTGGATTAATAAAATAAAATAGATATTTCAAACTAGTCCATATGAAAGGTTTCTTTCAAAATCAATGCCCCTATGTGAATATCATACTATTACTAGAGACTCCTTTTTCTGCTTCAAAGTTAATCCTCACGTGAGGTGCCAAGGGGAAAAAAGATATGAATCCCAGAAAGTGTAAATAGGAAACAGTAGCTTTGCCCAAAAAACACTCGACAAACAGCGCACGGCATCTACAGTGCCGGCAAACGTCTCTTTGCCGAGTATTTTTTATCGGGCAATCAACAAATACTTGGTCGAGGGCTGAAACCGACGCTCAGCAAAAAAAGAGTAACGTGACGGCGCGGAGACGGTCACGGCGCGTTTGCCGAGTGTCCAGGATTTGACACTCGGCAAAGCAGCCATGTTTGCCGAGTGCCCCAGCCCTGACACTCGGCAAATATGCCCTGGTTTGACTCGGCAGAAATATGTGGAGAGCTGAAAAAGTTTCAAGGTCGAAAGAGAAAAAAGACTTGTTTCTTTGCCGAGTGCCAAACAAATACACTCGGCAAACATATTACTTTGTTACACTTGGCAACCTTGTTTCTTCGTCGAGTGTCAAATAATTACACTCGGCAACCTTGTTTCTTTGTTGAGTGCCAAACAAATACACTTGGCAAACATATTTCTTTGCCGAGTGCCAAATAATTACACTCGGCAAACATATTTCTTTGCCGAGTGTATTTGTTTACCGAGTGTTTCCACTAACGGACACTTGGCAAACGTACTAACGAACGGTACACGGACTTACGGTTGTCCACGTAGCGGTTCTTTGTTGAGTGCCTAGCTTTTGCCGAGTGTTTTTTTTCTGGTTTGCCGAGTGCCAAACTTTGCCGAGTGTTTTTTTGCCTTTTTTACCGAGTGCAGTTATTTTGCCGAGAGTTTTTTTTAAACACTCGACAAAGAGCTTCTTTGCCGAGTGCCCAATATAATACACTCGGTAAACATTCTTGCACTCGGCAAACACCCAGTTTCCGGTAGTGAAAAGGAGAGACACACATTTAGACTCTCATCAATATCAGAAATAATAGACATTGGATCTGGTATGCTTCTAAATTATCTGCATCTCTCATTATGAAACTAAACCTAAAATAACCTTGAAGTCTACATCCAAATTACGTACCACTTGCATCTAAATTGGTATCTAAATTATTCATCTATATCATTATTAAAATAATATAAAAGATTCAATAAAATTGCATCTAAACTGCCTACTTCCTCGGCAATTATTAAAATAACTTCAAATAACCCTCTAAAATTGCATCTAAACTGCCTACTTCCTCGGCAATTATTAAATAACTTCAAATAACCCTCTAAAGTTCTCCATCTAAATTATCTACCTCCATTATTATTAAAAATAACATAGATTACTCCATATATGATTTTATCTACTTACTTCTACTTTTGTAAGTAAATAAAAAACTAACTCAAAGCATGCATGATTCTTGGCACCACACATTCCACATATGCGTGCATGCAGAGAGCGATAAGCGTATATTAATTTTTCATATTTTGTTAGAAAAAAGAATTTTTTTAATCCATCATCTGTAAGAGATTTGTACACATTAGCAATCATTCATAACATCCGCGGTGGCTAGAGCCCCTGGGTGTTCCAGGACAAGATGAATCCTTAATATCTATAAGCATAGATGTTAAGTTTGAATGTAAACAGATGATAGGGAGCAAAGCTGGCTAATTCTTAATAGTTGTAGGCTCAAACTTTTAACACTCATGTCTCCTCAAATTGTTTGATTGTCCAAGAGCATATGTTGATGTTGCTACTACTTGCTAAAATATGTAAAACTATCATTTTCATATATCTTAATACTTTGAATTCTTTGTTTTATTTTAATCTTGTTGATACCATAGACATGAATTTACAAATATAGGTGACATTATACTTCACTCACGTAGGGCCTCTTTACTGCATGGGAAGATGTAAAAAATAAAAAAGAAAGGACTTCAAGATTACATAGAAATATCATCATGCAAAATGAAGAACTTAAAACGAGTAAAAAAACACATACTCCATCCCATAAAGAATGACGCTATGGAGTTCATGCGGGTTAATTTTTTAAGGTTAACTAGATTTATAAAAAATAATAGCAACATTTGTATCTCCAAATAAGTTTATTATAAAAATATATTCAGCGAATCATCTAACGATACTATTTATGCACTATAAATATTATTGTTTTTTGTATTTGGTCAAAATTGAGATTGTTTGACTTCTCGGGAAGTAAGAATGACATTCTTTGTGGGACAGAGGGAGTAGTAGGTACTCTATTCATTTCAAATTAAATGTATGCATAATTAACTTGGTGTAGTTTAAACTGAAACTAGATGTTACATTGAGAAATTTTACAATGGTTGGAAAAAAATGGGTCATCCATTGGACGAGATCGGACGGTGGAAAAATAGGAGGTACCCAACTAAAAGTACCTGGAGATACCAAATAGGTGAGGATAGTACCAAATTAGATGGGACCAGTACAAAAAATATGTGGGGCAAGATCTAATTTTCATTTTATATTTTATTTCCGAATAAGGGTAAATCAGTCATTTTACTACTGTCATTTAAGGGTAAAAATAGGATTAGGCAAATATTTTGCAGTTTTTTTAATGTGACATTTTTATGTGACTGATACAATGGTGCTAATGTGCATTGTTAGTGTGTAACATTTTTTAATGTGACATATATGATGGTGCTAATGTGCATAGTTAGAGTAACATTTTTTTAATGTGACATATATGATGGTGCTAATGTGCACAGTTAGTGTGTAACATTTTTTAATGTGACATATATGATGGTGCTACATACAATGTGGTACATGAGAGATTAATTTCATGAAGGGCTGCTTGGACACGAAACGCAAGCGAAGACTCGTTGGCACATACGGGAACATACGTGACACAACTATTAGTGATCGCTGGGTCTCTTATAGCAAACAAATATGGCAGCCTCCAATTTATGCATGCATGCCGAGCTAGCTGATTTCCGAAGGCTTGGTGGCGTATAATGTATACTGCATGCATGCGGAGAAGGTTTAGGCAGAGGCTAGCATGTGATACCCTCAATTACTAAAATACACCCTCTATAACATAGGAAAACAATTTCAAATTAAATAATCCAGTTGTACAGCTTCAGTTTTATCCCAAATCTACAAATTTCTTGATATTAATTGCCTGCCAAAATTATGAATTTTGAATCTTATACGTACACGTGTACCTCTTAATGCTACGGAGAACAAAAGGAGATATATATATTAGTAGAGGAAGTACCAGATATCGTCCTGCACCCCGAGCAGTAGGCCCATCTCCTCCCTTGCCGCTGACAAGGCGACGCCGAGCGCGCTGCCCACCAGTGTGGTAGCCATGCCAAGCGCCGTCTCCGCCATGGCGCCGCTCTCCTTGCAGCTGCTGCTTCGTCTTCACCACTCTATCGATCTCCTCCTGATCAGTCTGTGACATACGACTATGAGGTGACGATAGATGCACGTCTGCAGCAGTGCACCTGCGTCTATGCGATATGCGTTACTTATAGGTGGGCTATCTTATCTAGCTGCAAAGATGAGAGATGCTCGCCTCCTCAATGCAACTCTCCTTTAGCCTTTGCTCGCCCTTGAAGCAAAGCGAGCACCAGCTTATTCGCTCTTTGCCGTCGTTCCTGAACATTCTATTTCGTGAACCTTTGGCATATCTGAATGCCTGAAAGATGGAAAGGCTGGCCATTGCTGCGCCAGAAGCTCAAGCTAAGCATTTGATTCTTACTCGCCGGTGTCGAGGCAACCTTGGTCCCTCAGAGGAACAACGTTCAGGCAGCATCTTGCAATGTGTGGGCATATAGAAACCTTTTTCGTAACGCCGTGTGAAAGCTAGAACCAGTTTTATGACTGAACGACACAGAACAACGTTTTTTTAAACTTATGGATAAAATGCGAACCGAGGGTATCTCAGTTTGTTAGATTACTTATTGTGGAATTTGTAGAACTGAGTTCAAGTTCTTGACTTACAACGGTATTTTGCTAAAATTATTCTAAAAGAAATGACACTATTTTTTAATGGTTGGTGCTAGCGATGTGTCTATCGATAATACCAACAAATTGCTGATATCTAAAAACATCCAAGAGCTCAATAAAGCTAAATTTAAACTTCTCAAGTCATGAATACCTAGACCACCAGCCTCTTTCTTTTGTGCAATCAATTGCCAGCTAGCCAAATGATATTTATGACTATCCTCAGCGTTATTCTACAGGAAATGTCCTATGGGAGTTTATCATTCGTATAGCCCATTTTGGAAACTTAATGGGGATGTTTGCCAAACAAGCCTTAAGAAGAGTGAGCCTACGAGCATAGGAAAGCAATCTTCCCCTCCACCCAGCTATTCTTTTGATAATTTTGTCAGTAACAGGTTGTAGGTCATTTCTTGTCAGCTTAGTAAAATGAAGAGGAACTCCAAGATATTTGATAGGGGAAGTTACTTTTCTTACAGCAAAACACCTTAGCAAAATCATTAGCTCTATCTTCCTCTAGCCCAATAGTAAATAGGTCACTTTTGTCGTAGCTAATCTTCATGCCAGACATTTGTTCAAAGCAGACAAGCAATGCAACCACTTAAGAGTGCTTGCCTTTTCCAAATTGTTTTCAAGAAACAGCGCAACATATCATCGGCATACTGTAAACTAATGATCCCACCTTCTGTTAACTGAGTTCAAGTTCTTGACTTACAACGGTATTTTGCTAAAATTATTCTAAAAGAAATGACACTATTTTTTAATGGTTGGTGCTAGCGATGTGCCTATCGATAATACCAACAAATTACTGAACGTGTGGAACACAAAGTAAGCTGCAAAAACCATGAGCTTTGACATGTGAAACACAACAGGTAAGCAGCAAATGTGCACAAAGTAACTCCTAAACAAGCTGCAATCAATCCAGTACAAAAATGTTATGTTCTGAAGGTGAGGTTAGAGTCTACCAAACACTGACAAAAGCTTCGGGCCTAATTACCGGGCAACTACACTTTGGGCCCAATTATTGGGCTGACCAACGAAGCCCAGCTTCGGCAGTGGTGGGCTTTGATCAAGCGCAAAGTGCCAGACTGCCAGTTAATTAAAAACAGAAAATTCCACTTAAAAAAAAGGGCTAAGTCTATTGCGCTTCGGGTCGCGCTACGCGACTAGCGCGCAACAGGCCCGGCCCTTGGGGCGGACGGGCGAGCAGGGCAGCCTTCCTGGGCCTCCGGGCCATCAGGTGCCCCGTATGTATACGATGTAGTACCAGTAGTGCTGAGCTTGGTCCAACTACCAAGGAGTGGAGGCAGCGTATCAGTGCACTGCTGTCTGCTAACGAGAGGCCACGAGCTAAGGAGCGACCAACAACGTTTGCATCAATGCTGTTTTTTTTTCATGCCACTTATATACTTTATATTTATATTTATATCAGAGCATATATTTTTTCAGTCACCCTTTCAGTTTACTGAGACATGATTTTCATTTTTTCATTATTTCTTTCAGTCTTTGTTTTTTTTATTTTCATTTTTCCTTTCAGTTTAATAAGTTATGAGTTTCATTTTTCAGTCTTGTGTTTTTTTAATTTTTTTAGTTTCAGATTTCAGTGACCTTTTAAGTTTGAATGTCTTTCTAAATCCAACATATTAGTTGGCTCACCTACAATGTATAAGTTGTTATAAAAAAGTAACCATTGTACACATAAGTTGACACAAAAGAAATTATCCCCGAGTTTCAGTTTTCGGTGAGGTTATTTTTCAGTTTTTTTTAGTTTGAGTTTTCAGTAATGTTTTTTTTAATTTTTTTAGTTTTAGTTTTCAGTCTAGTTTTTTTTCCTGTTATTTAGTTTCATTTTTCATTCAAGTTTTTTTGTTAGTTTCATATTTCAATCAGTCTTTTAGGTTCCAATGTCTTCCTAAATCCTGCATATTAGTTGTCTCATCTACAATGTATAAGTTGTTACAAAAGGGTAGCCATTATACACATAAGTTGCCACAAAAGAATTTGCCCCCCAGTTTTAGTTTTCAGTCAATTTTTTTTTCAGTTTTTTAGTCCTAGTTTTCAGTCATGTTTTTTAATGTTTTTAGTTTCCGGTTCTCAGTCACCCTTTTAGGTTCGAATGCATTCCTAAATCCTACATATTAGTTGTATAATAATTTACCCTATAAGTTGTTATTTATATTTATATCAGAGCATATATTTTTTCAGTCACCCTTTCAGTTTACTGAGACATGATTTTCATTTTTTCATTATTTCTTTCGGTCTTTGTTTTTTTTTTGTTTCAATTTTCCTTTCAGTTTAATAAGTTATGAGTTTCATTTTTCAGCCTTGTGTTTTTTAAATTTTTTTAGTTTGAGATTTCATTGACCTTTTTAAGTTTGAATGTCTTTCTAAATCCAGCATATTAGTCGCCTCACCTACAATGTATAAGTTGTTATAAAAAAGTAGCCATTGTACACATAAGTTGACACAAAAGAAATTGTCCCCTAGTTTCAGTTTTCGGTCAGGTTATTTTCTGTTTTTTTTGTTGGAGTTTTCAGTAATGTTTTTTATTTTTTTTTAGTTTTAGTTTTCAGTCTAGTTTTTTTTTTCTGTTATTAGTTTCATTTTTCATTCAAGTTTTTTTTGTTAGTTTCATATTTAAATCAGTCTTTGAGGTTCCACTGTCTTCCTAAATCCTGCATATTTGTATAAGTTGTTACAAAAGGGTAGCCATTATACACATAAGTTGCCACAAAAGAATTTGCCCCCCCCCTTCAGTTTTCAGTCAATTTTTTTTTAGTTTTTTTAGTCCTAGTTTTCAGTCATGTTTTTTTTAAGGGAAATTTTGCTGCAGGACATCGCTAAAAAGCCTAATATGCTGATGGACACCGCCAAGAGCGAAATTTGCCTAGTACCATTACAAAATCACGTCCATTTGCTGAAACACACCGCACCGAATATTTTATCTATTTATCAGATTTGAGGAGAGAGAAGGTAGAGAAAATGACTCTTATGCTCTCGTCTTCAACCTCCAGCTATTCACTAATTTTTGCCAAAACACACTGCTGCCTTCTCAAACATCTTTCTCATTTGCTGCCATAATTTTCTCCCTCCCTCCCACCAGCTGCGGTGGTGGCCACGTCGTTCCCGTGGAGGGCTGGTGCCTCTCGACGCACCACCATTTCCAGCCGCGGGGAGATCTCACGCACGCGAGCAGGTGGCGGCGGCACTTCTTCCCGCGGCGGACCGGAGGCTGCCCGCAACCTTGCGGGCGGTCCTTCCCCTACCGCGGCGACCCCCAGTTCCTCCCTCGCGACGGCGGCGTGGTCCCCCAGCTTCCAGGCGCAGGCACGGCGGCCCCGGGTGGCGGCGCGGCCAGACCCTCTCCTCTTCCACCACTGGCGGCGGCGCCGTTGTTGGTGGATGCAGCGGGGACGAGGCGGATCTTGGCGGCGGCATGGGCAAAGCGAAGGCGGCGGCATGGCTGGCGGAGCGAACGGCGTGGTGTCCGGGCGCGGTGGATCCCTGCTCCACCCGGTCGGTGCCTCCTCAGTCCTCTCGTAGAATATCCAGCAGCGCCTCTCCTCGCCATCATTTGCGGCCAGCTATTTTTTTTGATCTAACTAAATTATTCTGGCGGTCGCAGCACTTCTCGTCCTCCTCACCATCATGGCGGCCAGCGATCGGTGGTGTAGCTGCCAACGGTTCTGACCAGGTGAGGCCTCAATCTTCGTATCCCTATCGTGACGAATGGTTCGTGGCTGTTATGGAGGGATCTGATCTGTTGGGTTCATGGGAATTGGGATGTGCGGACCCAAGTAGCACTCTCTGACCAAATTTGTGAGACTAATTGGCATCAGTTTGCGCTTGCTGTGATGCAGAATCTAGATTGTGTGCTCCTAGAATAAACGACCAGGGTGATTTCCGATTTGCAATCTAGTGCATCCAGTGTGCCTAATATGGTTTTGGCGGCATGGACATGGACGCAACAGAGGATGCAGTGGTGTTTCAGAGCTGCTGTCCAGGGTGCTTTTGGCCAGTCATAGGTACTGTTGCTGTCTTTGGCTTCCATGGCCATGGAGTGAGGAGGAAGGACCTATTCACGACTCATGTGAGGATCAACGCTGACGACGATGAGAAGACAGCAGTGTGTTTTGGCAAAAATAAGTGAACAGCTAGAGGTTGAAGACGTGGGCAGAAGAGTCATTTTTCTCACCTTCTCTCTCCGCAAATCTGATAAATGAATAAAATATTTGGTGCGGTGTGTTTCAGCAAATGGACGTGATTTTGTAATGGTACTGGGCAAATTTCGCTCTTGGCGGTGTCCATCAGCATATTAGGCTTTTTAGCGATGTCCTGCAGCAAAATTTCCCTTTTTTTTTAATGTTTTTAGTTTCCGGTTCTCAGTCACCTTTTTAGGTTCGAATGCATTCCTAAATCCTACATATTAGTTGTATAATAATTTACCCTATAAGTTGGCACCTTATGCAATACTTCATCATCTAATAATTAGCCCCTTAGGGTGCAGCTTATCTTATTTTGGGTTGGTACTCTTGTCTTTTTAATAAATGTCCCACCAATTTTCAGCTAGTCATGTTTTCCGGCTTATATAGTGGGTTTTATTATAACTTGCCCCTCTAGTTAGCAGCTTATGCAATACGTGTTCTAATAATTTACCCCCAGGCTGTAACTTGTCTCGTTTTGTATCACTATTCTCATTTTTTTAATAAATGCACCCAGTTGGCAGCAAGTCATGTATCCTAACTTTTTATAATATGTTTTATAATAACTTGTCGCTTTAATTGGCAGCTTATGTAATGTTAAGTTTTATAATTTGCCCCTTCAAATCGTAGCTTGTCTTGTTTTGGTTCGTTACTCTCTTTACGGTTAGTATCTTTATGTAAATAATACAAAAAATTTAGTATATTCATATGGTAACAATCGATGTGTATACTATATAATAACTTCGGTATATTTTTGGAGTAGCAACTTTAGCATTTCATGGTAGTAACTTCTTTGATAAATCTCCTAGCACATATTTATACATAAATTGCTATTAAAATAAAATTATCAAAATATATGTAACTAGGTGCAGATGGAATTGAAAACGGATACAACATTCAAACATTATAGCAATTGAAAAAAATGCTTTGCTTTTTTGTTTTGCGTCAGACTGATGTCAGTGTAGTAGCATGCTGGTCAGAAGTGGGATCTCAGGCGTGTCTGACTTTCACGTGTGTTTGGGATATACTTGGCCATCGGGCCGGCCCGGCTCGGCACGACCCGGAGGATGTCGGGCCGGCACGGCACACGTGCCTCCCGTGCCGGGCCGAACCGGACGCCGGGCCTGGCCAACGGCCCAGGCACGGCCTGTCGGGTCATTTTTCGGGCCAGGCCGGCCTGAAAAGCCCGAGCGTCTTAGCAGGCCGTGCCGGCCCAGCAGCCCGACGAGAGGGGAACGGAGGCGTCGTCGTCGCCTCCAGGGCGGGCGCGGGTGGCGAAGGGGCGGCGCTGGCTGAGAGAGGTGGGAGGCGGTGGCGACGCTCGACGCCGGATCTGGCGAGAAGAGAAGGGTATGGAGAGGAAGTTCTGGTCAGAGTAGCGGACGAGGTAGGAGCCGTAGAAGACAGTGGGGAAGCAGGCCCTGCAGGAGGAGGAGTCGGCGTCGCCGCGACAGAGCGCGAGCCCGTAGACGGTGTCGGGGACCTCGCCGATGGTGGCCGTTGCGAACGCCTCCTCGAACGAGCAGCCGGAGAGAGGGGGAAGGGGAGGAAGCGTGAGCGAGCAACCGGAGATCGTGGCGTCGGGGCGGAGCTCGTGGCCGGATCTAGCGTCGGGGCGGAGCTTGGGGCCAGCGCGCTCGTTCCCGCGGGAGGCGATGGCGGCGCTCGACGTTGGATCCCACGAGAAGAGAAGGGGATGGAGGGGATTCGACGAGCCGCGGGGAAGCAGGAGCTCGAGGCGTCGGCGATGATGCGCGAACACGAGGTTGCGCGGCTACTGTGGCGCGAGCAGCCAGAGAGAGGGGGAAGGCGAGGAAGCACGAGCAGCTGGGCCACGGACGGCACAGTAGAGTTACCGGAGTAGCCTGGGGTCGCGCGCGACGGGTTGGCACTTATCCGCCTAAAAAGATCCCAACAAAATCGCGCCTTATCCGCCTTAAAAAAAACCCAGCAAAATCGAGGTAATGGATTTATGGACACGGACACGGTAGGTGACGACTGACGACTCTAGTAGTCTAGTGTCCACTAGCAAGCAAGCGAAGCAACCATGGCCGACGACCAACCATGGAAGATACCGCCGATCATTCAGGAGCTGGCCGCCGGCGTGCAGGAGCCACCGAGCCGATACGTGGTCGGCGAGCAAGATCGTCCCGCCGTAGCCGCTGCCGCCATGCCCGAGCCCTTCCCATCGTTGACCTCAGCCGGCTGTCCGCAAACGACGGCGCCGACGACGAGGCCGCCAAGCTCTTTTCCGCCCTGCAGAATTGGGGCCTCTTCCTGGTAATAATAAATTAAAGCTCTCTTTTCTTCTTGTTTCCACAGTCCGACCAAGCTCAGACTCTGTGTCTCTGTCCAGGCAGCCGGGCATGGGATGGATCCAGAATTTCTCGCCGAGATGACGGGAGTGACAAGGGGATTCTTCAATCTCCCGCTCGACGAGAAGCAGTGTTAGATAGGCAATGTGCGCATGCATCTGTAACAAACCGATGAGTCATCGGTCAAGCTATAAGTTAGAGGTAGTTGTTATTAGATATATATGCACCATAAGATTGTTTGGCTCTCCTAACTTATAGCTATTTAGATACATCTGTAATCTATATGTAGCCACGGTTGAGGCTGTTTCACTCATTCAATCAACACGCAAGCACCTGCAGTCCTGAGTTTGGGACTCGGTGTTCATCCCCATCTGCGCCTCTGAATTTCTACATGGTAATCAGAGCCATCATCTACTAAACTCCAGCGCCATGTCCTCTTCCAGCTCCAACAACAACAACTCCAATCCCTTCCACAGCCATGCCGTCACGGAGAAGCTTGGAAAGGGGAACCACGCGCTGTGGAAAGCCCAGGTCCGATCCGCTATACGCGGTGCTCGACTCCATGGCTACATCAACGGTGATCGCAAGGCGCCAGCAAAGGATCTGGTCGTCACAGTCGACGGGAAGGAGCAGAAGACTCCGAACCCAGCATTCGAGGAATGGGAAGCCAGGGATCAAACTGTGTTGAGCTTCCTTCTCTCGTCACTCTCCAAGGAGGTGGCAAATCAAGTCTCCACATGTGAGACTGCAGAAGCGGTGTGGAACGCCATCGAGCAGATGTATGCGTCGCAAACGCGTGCCCGCATCGTCAATCTACGCATCGCCCTCGCCAACACCAAGAAAGGTACATCTATTGCTGCTGAATATTTTGCGAAGATGAAGGCCCTCGGTGATGAAATGATAGCAGCCGAACGCCGGCTCGAGGATGAAGAACTGGTCGAGTATATTCTCACCGGTCTTGGAGAAGACTATGCATCGTTTGTTACTGCCCTAACAATCGGGGTGGAACCGGTCTCGGTTGAGGAGCTCTATGCACAGCTCCTTAACTATGGGACCCGTATGGATCTTACCTACGGCGAAGGCGGATCCAGTTCGGTGAACTCCGCGAGTCATGGCCGCGGAGGATCTCCCAGAGGTGGAGGAGGCCGCACCCAAGGCGGCCGTGGTCAGCGCAACCGTGGCCGTGGTGGATCTCCATCACGCGGCCGCGGCAACTTCAACAGAGGCGGTGGACGTGGAGGCTTCAACAACTCTCACCATGCATCACCTGCCGAAGATGATGATCGCCCTTTGTGCCAAGTATGCTACAAAAAGGGGCACTCTGCTGAAAAATGCTGGCACAGGTTTGATGAAGACTACGTGCCGGATCCGAAGTTGGTTGCAGCTGCCATGAACATGTACTCAGTTGACACAAACTGGTACACAGACACAGGGGCCACCGATCACATTACTAGTGATCTTGAGAAGCTATCCTTCAGGAACAAGTATCATGGTGATGATCAAATCCACACCGCCAGTGGATCAGGTATGGATATTAGTCGCATTGGTCATACTACTCTTCATACCCCTTATCGTAATATTCATCTTAAAAATGTTCTTCATGTTCCACAAGCCACCAAAAATCTTGTTTCTGTACACAAACTAGCCTCTGATAATTCTACGTTTCTAGAATTTCACCCTGATTTTTTTTCTATTAAGGATCAGGCCACGAAGCAAACCATCCTTAAGGGAAAGTGTCACAAGGGCCTGTACCCCATTCCGGCCCTTCCAATAAAGCAAGCTCATGGAGTTGCCCGAGTTTCCGTGACCAGATGGCATGATCATCTAGGTCACCCTGCTACAAGCGTCGTGAAGCAAGTCATTAGTACCAATAATATTCATGTTTTAGAAGATTCATCTAGTGAGTCAGTGTGTGATGCCTGTCAACAGGCAAAGAGTCATCAGTTACCTTATGTTAAGTCATCTAGTACATCATTAGCACCTTTAGAACTTGTGTTTTCTGATGTCTGGGGTCCTACTATTGAATCAGTTGGTAGGAAGAAATACTATGTCAGTTTTATTGATGATTATAGCAAGTTTACCTGGATTTATCTTCTCAAATACAAGTCTAAAGTCTTTCAAAAATTTCACGAATTTCAAGCTCTAGTAGAAAGACTGTTTGATCGCAAAATTCTCGCCATGCAAACTGATTGGGGTGGCGAGTACCAAACACTGAACTCATTTTTTTGCTAAGATTGGTATTACTCACCTTGTGTCATGCCCTCATACACATCAACAAAACGGTGCCGCAGAATGCAAGCACCGTCACATAGTGGAAGTCGGCCTTGCTCTATTAGCACATGCCTCAATTCCTTTGAAATTCTGGGATGAGGCCTTTTTATCTGCTACTTATCTTATAAACCGCACCCCTAGCCGTGTCATCCACAACTCCACTCCTCTAAAACGCCTATTTCAACATGATCCAGACTATGCCTTTCTCCGAGTGTTTGGGTGCGCGTGCTGGCCTAATCTTAGGCCCTACAATGCCCACAAACTTGAATATAGATCTAAACGTTGTGCTTTTCTTGGCTATAGTCAACTCCACAAAGGGTACAAGTGCCTAGACATCTCCACTAGACGCATCTATATTTCACGTGATGTTATTTTTGATGAAAATGTTTTTCCCTTTTCTGAGCTCCATCCCAATGCCGGTGCTCGGCTTCGCTCAGAAATAGATCTCCTTCATCCCACTTTGTTGAATCCAGGGGGTACAACTGTAGTTGATCCGGTGACTAATGCTGTATCTAATGCCACTAATAATTTTTCTCCAAGTGCTGTTGTAAGTGCAGAAAATACCACTGCTGATCTGCTGCGCACAGCAAGTGTGCCACAATCATCCATCGACACTGGAACCGAGGATGATGCGATGCAGCACCCTGGGCAGACGGCAGGTACGCCTGGGCGGGATTCTGCGCCGGGATCCGCATCTGGTCAGCGGCTGGCCCATGAGCGCTCGCCATCTGCCTCCTGTCACACGGGGACCAACTCCGTCGTCGCTCCACGCCAAGGGGGGACATGATCTTCTGATGCTACTGCTCGTCGCCAGGGGGAGACTGCTGCACCTGATGGATTTCCTGCGCTGTCCACCGGTGCTGGGGGATCTTCTGTGCCGGCTGCTACTACTAATGCTGATGCATCTGCTATACCCCTCTCCTCCACAGGCACTGATGTACAGGCAGAACCACGTCGTCAAACACGTCTTCAAAGTGGCATACGCAAGGAGAAAGTATACACTGATGGTACCGTCAGATACTCTTTTCTCACAACTTCAGGTGAGCCCTGGAATATAGAAGAAGCTTTGTCCAATACAGATTGGAAAATGGCAATGGATTCAGAATATAGTGCCTTGATGAACAACAAGACATGGCACTTGGTTCCACCACAAAAAGGTAGGAATGTAATAGGATGCAAGTGGGTCTATAAGATCAAAAGAAAGAAGGATGGAAGCTTGGATAGATACAAAGCAAGGCTTGTAGCAAAAGGATTCAAGCAAAGGTATGGAATTGATTATGAAGATACCTTTAGTCCTGTCATCAAGCACTCTACTATTCACATTATTTTGTCACTTGCTATCTTTAGAGGTTGGAGCTTACGACAGCTTGATGTGCAAAACGCATTCTTGCATGGATATTTGTACGAGGATGTATATATGCAGCAGCCTCCAGGTTATGAGGATCCTGCAAAGCCTAATTATGTGTGCAAACTTGATAGAGCTCTCTATGGGTTAAAACAGGCTCCCAGAGCCTGGCCTGCTCGACTTAGTAACAAGTTAATAAGTCTCGGGTTTAAAGTATCAAAGGCTGACACATCCTTGTTTTTCCTCAATAAGGATAATTTGACCATGTTTGTGCTTGTATATGTAGATGATATTATTGTGGTAAGTTCTACAGAGAAGGCCACAGATACACTTCTCAAGGAGCTACAAAATGAGTTTGCCTTGAAAGATTTAGGCGATCTTCATTATTTTCTGGGTATTGAAGTTTCCAAAGTATCAAATGGGATATTATTGACACAAGACAAGTATGCATCTGATCTACTCAAGCGAGTTGGAATGTCTGATTGCAAGGCCGTGGCTGCTCCACTCAGTACTAGTGAAAAGCTGTCATTGCATGAGGGATCTTTGTTGGGACCTAAAGATGCGACACATTACAGAAGTGTAGTCGGTGCATTACAGTACTTGACACTTACCAGGCCAGATATTTCATACTCGGTGAACAAGGTTTGTCAATTTCTCCACGCACCAACCACTGTACATTGGGCTGCAGTCAAGAGGATACTGAGATACATCAAGCAATGCACTTCACTTGGCATTAAACTTCTCAAGTCATCCTCTACTTTGATCAGCGCATTTTCTGATGCCGACTGGGCAGGCAGCGGTGATGATAGGAGATCAACCGGGGGTTTTGCAATCTTCTTTGGCTCTAATCTTGTCTCATGGAGTGCTCGCAAACAGAGTACAGTGTCACGGTCGAGTACCGAATCAGAGTATAAAGCAATAGCTGATGCAACTGCTGAAGTTATGTGGATACAAACTCTACTTCGAGAATTGAGTGTGAGAACCCCAGCTGCTGCCAAACTGTGGTGTGATAATATTGGTGCTAAATACTTGTCTCAAAACCCAGTATTCCATGCTAGAACCAAGCACATAGAAGTGGATTATCACTTTGTCAGAGAAAGAGTTGCACGAAGACTGTTAGAAATTGATTTTGTATCATCTGGAGATCAGATTGCTGACGGGTTCACCAAACCCTTGTCAGTAAGGCTACTTGAGAATTTCAAGCACAATCTTAACATGACCAAGTTATGATTGAGGGGGAGTGTTAGATAGGCAATGTGCACATGCATCTGTAACAAATCGATGAGTCATCGGTCAAGCTATAAGTTAGGGGTAGTTGCTATTAGATATATATGCACTACAAGATTGTTTGGCTCTCCTAACTTATAGCTATTCAGGTACATCTGTAATCTATATGTAGCCACGGGTGAGGCTGTTTCACTCATTCAATCAACACGCAAGCACCTGCAGTCCTGAGTTTGGGACTCGGTGTTCATCCCCATCTGCGCCAACCTGAAGAACGGCAAGGAGTTCAGGTTCGAAGGGTACGGCAACGACATGGTGCTGTCGGAGGACCAGGTCCTGGACTGGTGCGACAGGCTCTACCTGACGGTGGAGCCGGAGTCCCGGATCATCCGGAGCCTCTGGCCGGCGCAGCCTCCTGCCTTCTGCGACGTCCTGCGCGAGTACACCGCCAGGTGCTGGGAGATCGCCGGCGTCGTGCTCACCAGCCTCGCCAGGCTGCTGGGCCTGCACGAGGGCCGCTTCGTCGTCATGATGGACGAGGGCGTCGCCATGACGCACGCCAGGTTCAACTACTACCCGCGATGCGATGCCCCGAGCCGGACCTCGTCTTCGGCCTGAAACCCCACTCCGACGCCTCGGTGATCACCGTCGTCCTCATCGACGACGCCATCAGCGGGCTCCACGTGCAGAAACCCAACGACGGCAGCGGCGTCTGGTACGACGTGCCCATCGTTCCCAAAGCTTTGCTGTTCGAGAGGTTCGCCAGAGGGGAACGAGCCTTGGACACGGTGAAGATCGACCTCAACGACGACTGAAAACATGCATGATGTTTCTTGAACGATAGTCATCAACGACGACTGAAAACATGCATGATGTTTCTTGAACGATAGTCAACAACGACGATGATTGATGGATGATAGATTCGCATTCGCTTTGTAGGGAAGCTTCAATTCTCCCAATCTTCCATCGACCCACATTTAATTTGTCGACATGACGCCATGCTTGTGTGAAGTGAATCAGTTGCTGCCTGCCATTCCCATTTGTGCTTTGAACTCTGTCTTGGTTAATTCAGATCCAGAAACGCATTCTCGCAATCCAGCACTGTCCATCAAGTCAGACTGATGCGCTCCTCGCTTGACACGTCGCTTCACCAGTTGACCGAGATACCTCTCGCTTCCTTCAGACCAAGACTGGCAATACAGTCAGTTGCTGGTTTGCCGACCGAAAAATACCGATAAAACAAAAGCTGGCAGGGATAGATATAAAATACTACTCGTGAGCAACAATGTCCCATTAACTGGCATGGCCGTTATTAGGGACGTAGTGTTGAACTTGCTAAGCAGGGCAGAGCCTGAGGTCAGTATTCAGTATTGACAGCATAGGCAAGGCCGTTATTAGGGGGGGCGTTTAGTTGCCGCCTGAATCGGCGCTGCCTGAAATTCACTAGCACTGTAGCACACTGTAGATTTCCGTTTGTATTTGGTAATAATCGTCCAATCGTTGACTAATTAGGCTCAAAACGTTCGTCTCGCAAAGCACAACCAAACTGTGCAATTAGTTTTTGATTTCGTCAACATTTCGTACTCCATGCATGTACCGCAAGTTTGATGTGACGGGGAATCTTTTTTTTGCATAGTGACAAAGTTTGCATTTTGGGGTAACTAAACAAGGCCTAGGTACTCGTGAGCCGGACGTCCTCGCTGCACTCAGTTTCCCGCGCTCGAGCCAGCATGATCCAGTCTGAGCCTGTATTTCGTGCGCCCACTCGGGCCACGCGCCGTCAGACGGCGCGCAGGGACCACTCGTACCCCTCTGTTTCTCACACGCATTGCAACATAGGCAATACCTGATCTACTTTTACAACATTTAGATAAAACACTTACAACATACGTTTGAAATAACTAAAACACTTGCAACATATGAAATACTTGCAAAACACCAGAAAAAACTTGAAAGCACGTATGTAGCAATTGCAAACATATGCAAACATCAAGATGAAAACACTTGCAACATATGTATAAAAAGACCCGAAACACCTACATATATATGCAACATCCCGATCTAATTTTGTAACATTCAAATGAAACACTTGCAACATCCGTTTAAAACAGATGAAACATTTGGAACAAACACTTGAAACATACGTGTATAGCCTATTGCAATGTGTGCAACATCCCGATCTACTTTTGCAACATCGATATTAAAACACTTGCAACATATCTCTGAAACATCTGAAATACTTGAAACATATGCTTGCAACATGTGCTTTCAGCGCAATGTCACCTTGCTGTTTGGACGAATGGAGGCTCGTCGTTGCGGAGCTCAACGCCGACGATGAGGAGCCACACGGTGCCATACCCAGGGAGGCACGCGCCGGCGCTGATCAGGAGGAGCAGCGCGGGGTGGAGCCCGTTGTAGAGCACCCTTGGGAGGCCGTGGTTCTCGCCAACGTCATAGACGACCCTGAGCAGCGCGAGGCGGCTTTGGTGGGCGCCGAGTGAGACCTTGAGCGCGTGCGAGTAGAGCGCAAACATGGAGTTGGTGCTGCCCGCGACCTGCACCCACGTGGCTGCCCCCAGCCCCACCCACAGTGGCTGGCTTGCTGTCTTCACGGACGTCGGCCCCCGCATCTCGCTCGCCGAGGGGAGCACCAGAGCAGCGTGCGCGATGTATAGATCAGACATACTATGTGGCTATGAGGGAGGAAAGACGTACTACGAGGCTACGAGGGAGGAGCGGTGCGTGGTAGAGACAGGGCCATGTGTGCGCATTTGCCACTGGCAGGTTGTTTGGGCCAGTCCGTAGGCCCAGCAAGCAAGCGTCCGGATGGACGGACGCCTTGACTAAAGCATTACCGACTTCCGAAACATGGCCAAGAGGCAAAACGATGCCCCTCTATGTCTCTCATCATGTGGATGTGGATCCATTCTAATCTATAATTAAAGCGCAGAGAGTAGCATTCATAGTCGTTAGTGACACCATTCATGAGCATGCAGCTGACTAGCATGATCAGGAGCATTGAAATACTTAACTGAATCGTTCGTCTTCAAGAACATGACATGCAAATATTTCATTAAGAGTGTGACTATGTTTCATGAAAATGGCATGCACCCATATTACTAATATAATAATCAACCTAATCGGCCAAATTATTCATGAGTTATGTAATTCATAATGTGTAAGTGCATCTAGCCTTTTAGTGGGTTTTGGTGAATTGAATGATAACGCCATTAAAGGTCTAACAAGTTTGCTAAGTGTTGAACAGAAAATTGAGTTTATTACATACACTTGTGGACAGTGGAATTAGAAGTGTATATAGGTTCAACTGAAGCTTGATTGATCTCAACATTCATATCAAGAAGATATTCAAGCAAGGATCACAATATTGAAGAAATCATTTTTCAATGGATGCTTAATATGATGTGACTTGAGTATAGCTCCATAGGGTGAAGATAGCAAGGAAGCGAAGGTGAAGAGCAAGCAATGGCTTGGAGACCGAGTTACCATGGCTAAGGTGAAGAAGAGAGTACTTGCATTGAGTCGAGGTACTAATTGAGCCATGAGGAGTCATATTGTGTTCAGGATCAAATCATTAGTGGAAATGACTTGAAGCCATGGATTGAACTCACATGTGTTGAAATGGTTCAAGTCACATGCTCAAGCTGTGTTTGCTCAAAGAGAGGAGGCAAAGTTGATTGCAACCCCTTATGAAGTTATATTGAGAAGAAGTGGCATATGAAGACTCAAGTGATTAAAATGGTTATATTCTTTTGATCTTGAGTTTAGGATATGCCGCACTATAAAGAGGGATGCAATCTAAGTGGTCTGAGGAAGATAGAGTGCTCAAGTATTTAACTAAAATCAATTGAGAGACACTCTAGCACTGCACAAACACTTACGACTAGTTTTCTGACCTTTGACTGTCGGAAGTTCCCACAAGCGTCAGAACTTCCGAGTGTCGGAAGTTTCAACTGCTGTCAGAAGTTTCGAAAGGTGTTAGAACTTCCAACACTTCTTGACTAGCACTCTGCTCAACATTTTGAATAACCCTAGGTGTCAGAAGTTCCGACGATCTGTGTTAGAAGTTTCGACGCAGATCTGAACGGTCATTTTTACCTTCGGGTATAAATACCGCCCTCCTCATTTCTAATCGTTACTCACTCACTCTCTCATGCCCAAACTTTAGAGAAGTGCCTCCTTGCTCCCATAACCCTCTCTTCTCTCATCTTTGCTCCTAGCTTTAAATCTTGGAAGAGATTGAGTTGAGAGAAGTATTTGGTGAGAGAAACATCAATTCAAAGCTTGAGCACTTGATTTCTTTGTTAAGCCAGTTGGATTTGCGTTTGTTACTCTTGGGGTTTTGCCCCTAGCTGGCTAGGCATCATCCAAGAGCTTCTCGATTTGTGGGAGAACCTTAGAAAGTTTGTATCACCCTCAATCATCTAGTGAAATCACCCATCATCTCAAGAGTTCATTCTCTTGACTTGAGAACGAGTATATGGTTGAAAGAGACCAAAGCCTTAGTGGCTTCCTCAACAACGTGGACATAGGCAAGCCTTAGTGGTGAACTGAACCACGGGATAATCACCTTGTCTCTCTTGTATTCTTGCTTTAGTATTGTTCTATACTTGTTATTCGTTGTCTCTCTCTCTCTTCCTCAAGCTATTTCTTAGGTTTTGTTCCCGATCTACAAATTGGTGGCGCTCCAAGGTCAAGGGAGTACTTGGACAGCTTCATCTATCCATAAGGAAGTGGGGTAATTCGTAGATCTAAATTTGAAGTCGATTTGACTCTAATTTTGTAGTCCTTCGTAGGCGTCGGAAGTTCCAACAAGCATCAGAACTTCTGACTGTCAGAAGTACCCACAACTGTCAGAACTTCTAGGTGTCAGAAGTTTCGATAGCTATCAGAACTTCCGATAGTGTACTAATCCGCTATTTCAAGTCTGTGTTTAAGAATTTTTAGGTATGCCTATTCACCCCCTCTAGGCGACGTCAAGGTCCTTACATAATGTTTCTAAAAAACTCCGTTTTACCTTTGGCCTCGAGCTCCTTATATCGACCCACAGTGCCTTGAGGGATTTGTACATGTCTCTTTCTTGTTTCATGCCTTTTGAACATCACACATGTGATGAAATAGAACTTATTTGCATCTATTCAACCACCTTGAACAAGAATTCATTCAGTCGGAAACCAATTTATGTCCATGTGAGAGGGAGATTATGAATTGATGTATTAGAGGAAATTGAAAGTGGGTGTTGTTGTATGTCTTAATCATCCAAATCAAAGATAATTTTTTCTCTTTATTAGTTTCTTGAATGTAAACAAGGATGTAAGCATTTGAATGCTTGGTATAAATCAAATTGGGGTAGGTATGAGGGAGCTGCAACAAAGAATTATCAGAGAAAGATCATGTACTGGACTTAATGGTCCGGAGCATGGAAATACTTTGGGGGGATATTCGATGAACCAAGGACCAGATTTTCAGTTCAGCCTGATAGAGCAAATGTGTGATGGTACTGTGTTTCACCATTGCGTCCATTTACCACGGTGTAGCAACTAGGACAAGTGGTGCTCCCAGCCTCCCTCCCACAATGGCTATAATCTATATTTTGTAGA